CGAAGGTACCCCCTTAACTTCTCCAGGGAAGTTGCCATCCATTTGCTGGGTCACAACTCTACTCCACCGGGTTCCAAACATAGCCCTGTATTGCCCAGTACTGCCCAATCACATCATGTGACTTACATGCAGGGTCGCTATTGCGCAACCCTCCAACCAAGCCCCCCACCAGGGGTCGCTATTTAAAAGCTCCCTGGTTACGGGACCCCCAAGGGGTCGCTATTCCATACCCCTAGCACCCAGGGGTCACTACTCGATGCCCCCTGTCATCCCGGGGGTCGCTATTCCATGTCCCTCTGGTTAGCAGTACACGGCGCGGGTCGCTTCCCGTCGCTTCCCACTATCACGTCACGTGGTGGCAGGGTCCAGTCACCCCTTGCACAACCCGTGTTGGGCTCCGGCCTACAACTAATGCTTGCACCGCCCCCTCCGAGCTCCTAGTGCTCCCCGCTGCTGGATCCAATGGCCTACACAACCAATTGCGCCTCCCCGCCGCCGGGGCTGGTCACGCCCTGTCTGCATCTCCCCACCACTATCCTAGTTCGTTGGATTCCATGGCAATACACCACCCCCACCTCCATCTGCGGCAATCTCCCCAGGGGAATACTCCACCCTGCGCTCACTAGGATCCTTCACAAAAACAACAAAACAATGCGGCTCCCCCCATGGGGCTAGGGGCGCAGCGTCCTTCTTGGCCAATTCAGACCACCTTGCGGGGTGCCTGGCCGGCCGCTTCTCCTCAGATCTCATGGATGGGACCCACCACCACCACCACCACCACTGGGATAGGGCCCCCTTGGTGCTCTTGCACCGCATGGCGCACTTCTGCCATCCGCACCCACCAACTCCTAAACCACTTGACGTGGTTTTCGGTTCGTTGCAGGCGATGCGTCCATTGAGGTGCCCGATTCGGCCTGGATGGGCCTCCTCCGCCGGATGACCAGTGGACTTTGCAGGGGAGCTCGCTCCTTCAGGTTCTCAATGTGGGCCTAGGCCTACAAGTGGCCGGGCGTGGGGTGGCCGTGCGCATTGTGGGTGCGCGGCACTGTGCGGCTTGCAGGTGCAGCTGCTGGGTGCACGGAGTGGGCGATAGAATGAAGTTACAGTCTGACCAGTGATCGCCTCTTTGAGGGGGTGGCCCTCATGTGGATTGCACGATAATGTGGCCTTCGGGCCTATACGATTGTATCTCATCCCCCAATACGGTTCTGGCTAGGGGTCTTAAGTACTGGTAATATATCTAACCATAACTCCTCTACTGCTAACCCAACGGAGGTGGTTCAAGAACCTATGAGTTCCTGATAAAGTCTACAATTATATGAGAAGTTTAATCGCATTGTTTATTGTACTTTATACCTCCCAAAAGCGCACTTAATGGAGAAACATACTACCTCCTGTGCTTCACAGCACATGTGCACCCCCCACACAGCCCACCCTTGCATTACAAAGACATCAAGAAAAATAGCCCTGACTCGTATGGGCATTTTATAAAATATTAACAATTGCACAAATGTAGAAAAGAAAGTGGCGTTACATACAGCCACTTTAAAGACAAAACAACCCTTTTTAAGGGTCTGACAAAAGTAATCAGCCTTCCCTATTCAGAGCATAATGGATGAGCTATCGGCCCTTTCACAGGATTGTGCACAATCTGGTGCATTTGTCTTTTCAAAACAATCATCAACCTCCCACATATTCCCTTTCTTCCCCTAGGCCAAATAAATGCCATTTTTTCACAATAACTAAAACACTTTTGCCCCAAATCAGTATAGCTTGCTCAACCAACCATGGGGGAAGTGTAAAATGTATATTCAGCACACAGGGTGAAGGGAGTCAACCTATTTCTGACTCTCACTCCCTCACCTCAGTCGTGCACTGAACTTGTCATGTCCATCCTGGCCTATGACTTTTAGTGCATACAAGACTTTCAGTGGGAGGGCTAAAAATAGCCTTGCATAGCACAAGAACTGACACCATGCCTGTTCTCTAAAATCTTACAGAACTTGCACACCTGCCATGCTAGACCTATGTTTGTAAGTGCATTTCAAGACTTCTGCTTGAACATAACCTTACACATCATATGAAACCCCATTTTTCATATGAATTACTAGACTATACGCCATTCCTCATTAGGTCGGACAGCCCAAATGGTCTTTCTCAGACTAGGGATGTGCCAGCTAAGCTCATCCCAATTCACCCACACAACTTGGCCCCTTAAGATCTAGGACTTCCCAGAATCGTCTATGAATCCAGTCAGTCTGGGGAGCTGACTGGTGACATGCACGGATCTGTTGAGCATAGCGTGGCATTTTGTGACCAGCCCTTGTCTCCTAAGTTTTCCACTTCCTTTACACTCACTCCTAAGGTTTGCAACAACGTGCTCATAATCCATTTTCGGAGTGTTTCCTCTTTCTTTCCTTTTACTTCTTTTTTTAAATTCAGCAATGGTGGCATACTTAGGCCATCCCACGCAGTGCATACAGCGCATACGGCAAATACCCATCGTACACCCTTACATAAGTGATCCACCCAGTGAAAACGGTGGTCATTATTTGATGTCATGAACAATAGCATATTGTTCGCAACGCCGCATAATGACCACCGTTTCACTGGGTGGATCACTTCTGCTTAATGGCTTGCGACTAGTGGGCATGTCAAAGCGTGAATCGTTGCTTGAGATTGAAAGAAATCTGAAAGTACCGAATAGCCATTTCTGTGATTGAATCCTGGTTTGGAATTCGGTTTTGAAGGTAGTTTTCGATCACACTCATGTTTGTTGAGGACAACATGAGCTTGAGGAAAGAATGTCCTGCAATTCGCATAGAGATGCCTTGGTCATAGTGTCTTGTCCGCAAGATGCGAGGGTGTGTTGTGGGGAAGTTTCGGATGTGTGTTTCCCGAAGCTTTACAGCACTGTGACCGCCCTCTACTTTCACTTTGGCTTGCAAGATTTGTTGTATTTGCACTTTGCAGTGGGGGCGTTTAGAAATGGCCATATGCGGCACCTGAGTAGTCACAATCATGTTGTTTTGAATTCTGAGTGAAAGGGAAGTTGTGGCATGTTTCAGATGTGGGCTGCATCGTAGTGATGAGGTGGCATGGGGGTTGAATTTTCTTATGGGCATTTGTGATTATGACAATCCTTAGAGGTCGAAAATGGGACATTGTATCAGATAATGGAAATTGGCATGAATGTGGCTGATCATTTTAAGCGCACCCCAGCTTGTTGGGGGTGCAGCAACCTGTGCTGTGAACCACGCCTTGGACTCCGTGTCGCCTGGCCATGTGAGCGCCCGCGCGTGGGATGGCGACCCCTCCAATCGCCTAGCTATTGCCGCTTCTCTGGCTTACTTCGAAGAGGACAGGCCCATCGTGCTATGCATGATGGTGCGTTTCCTTTAACAATATAATATATTCGTGGGTAGTGCTCTGGTCAAGTTTTCAAGGAAAAATAGTAAGTGTGTGGCATAAATATAGCCTCCCAAACACATTGTTTCATTTAATTTGAGACAGATGAAGTACGTTGATCAGTCGGTGATGCAAAACATGACTACACTTGAAATGTGGATTATCTGTCCATCTCTGTTGGGGTGTTTGTTGCTGTTTGTTACCTGTACCTTGTCTGTGGTATAGCAGGTGGCCTGTCACAGCCAATCTGCTTTGCATCAGTATTTCCAAAGAGTGCAGCTGGCTTTTTCTCACCAGTGATTCACGGACATGTGCACGAAAGTGTTTCATCCACTTGTACACAGCGCCCATATTCACTGATGACACTTAAGGAGCAAGACATTGCAGTTGAGCACTTGGCTATTTGCATAGTGATTTGCATCCCTGTGAGACAACGCTCTTCTCTCTTTCTGCGTATGCTGATCCTTGCACAGGAGACCTACAGCAGGGCAACTTGCCCATGACTTGCATCAACAGAGCCACACGCGGAAGTAAACACAAGACCATCTGCAACTGTTTCTGAGCAAGACAACAAAAACTATTAGAAAAGGGCAAGTAGTCACGACGGCTCTCAAATGTTCCACTGTCAGAACACAGCACAGTCCCCCTTCTCCCTGACTGCAACTGCCATGACCATCTATACAACGTCCATTGCCTGCTCTTCCAATGCCCTTTTTTCAGGCCTGGACTGGTTCAAGCCGCTCCCTCCATTCGTGGAATGGCTGGCACATAGCTCCGCTCTTGCTCCCAAGCCAGCTGTGCAGCCATCGTCAGCAAAGACCTGGCATCCCGATCATCCTGAACTTGCCTTGGGAAGTTTGAGCGGAGTGTGTGATGTTGGCCAGCCTCTGTTGTGTAGTTGACGTATATTCCGAGCCGATCCACCCACATCAACTCTGCATAGCTCAGCTGCAAGGATGGGCAGTGAAAGGTTGAGAGTTCAGCTGAACACCATTGGGACTTGCAGACCAAGTTGATAGCGAAGTAGCTGCAGGGAACAAGTCAACGTCCAGCAAATTTTGAAGGAATTCAAAACGTTGCCTGTGATTTGGCAAGCTATAACTTCGGCATTGCAATGAAGCAACCCTGTGCTGGCAGTAGCAGGACAACACCAAGTTCCGCTCAGCTGCTGAATGGATTTTGTCCAGTTCATGGGCTGGCAAGGCACTTTCTGAATGGCATCCATCCAAAATACAAGGCTGCAAAGCCCACACCAATAAACTGGGCGTATGTGGCTCCAATTTGTGTTTGGTCCTCAAGGTCTGCGTCCCAGACTGTGGGGTCAATCAGATTGCATCACCCACCTCCATAAATGACAACCCTGTTTGGTTTCGGCACAGTCTGACAATGTCTTCAGCACGATCCCTGTGCACGTGCATTCAACATCGTTAGCCAGTCAACAAAATTGCCAAACAAGCAGCTGGCTGCCCATATTTGGGAGCTTCGCATCCCAAGAATAGTAAGTGCACCACAGCCCACCAATGCATTGGCCTGCTTCAACTGTTTTCTGAGTGACTTGTTGTGAATCCAGAGTGCCATCGAAGGCTACCTGGCTACCTGTTCCACTGCGAGATGATGTCTGGTACATCATGCCTCAAAACATCAGGCTGAGCAGCCGTGTAGTCTTCAGAACTGATGCTCTCTGCAGTAGCAGCCTGTTTCCACCATACAGAAGAACATCAGACAGCTTGGGGGAGGCATAAAAGAGGAAATTGCAACAAAAGCACGCATACATAGGTCGCAAAAAGCCAGTGGCATACCATTTATGGATGTGCCATCTCAGTGCATACTTTCCAGGCAGTTTGATCAGGCTGAACCAATAGCAACATCCAACGCGGTGAGAAAGATTAGCGGAATAATGGTTGGATACATGCCTCCACTTCTCGACACAATTCCTTCCCAAACTATCTTCGCTGATTGGCCAAGCGACCTCAATATCCCGCAGACGGGAGCGGGTATGGTCGTCACTGCGGCGAACACCTCCGCTCACTGCGAGCGGTCCCTTCTCGTGCACAACGTGCGTCCCCAACGCAACGACAGCTACAACAAGCACCTCAGCACCTCAGCGCCAACCTTCCCAATGTGTCATGTCTCTGACAGCCGGAAACAGTTACGATTCAGGAATCGCCTGCGGCCCGGCAGCCCCCGCGGCCACTCACCCCACCCAGCCCGCCCACAAAGAAGCAGTCCGACACCCTCAGCCTGTACAGCAGGTCCGTCTCGCTGGGCCTGTCCACGCCCGCGGCCTCCCCGTGCGCCGCCTGGTGCATCATCCTGAACGCCTCCTCCTCCTCCTCCCCCACGCCCTCCGCCTCTCCCAGCAGCGTCACCCGCGCCAGGCAGCGCGCGGGGTAGTCCTCGGGGTGCACGAACAGGCTGCACCGGCCGCTCCGCGCCACGTTGGCCGTGTGCACCGCATCGCGCCTCAGCCGCAGGATTGGCTGTCCATCGCTGTCCAGGACGTAGGTCACGTGGGTGCCCAGCGGGGTGCCGTCGTCGGACAGCGTGCACAGCGTGCCGTGGGACGTGATGTCTACCACGGTGCGGGCGGTCTCGGCTATGGGCGGCTTGGCAACGGCATCGGATCCTTGGCCATCCGCCGCTGCGCCGAGCGCCACGGAGGAATGTAGCTCGCGTCGCGTTGGGCAGGGGCGGCCGGCCAGCCGCGCGGGTCGGCATGCCGGCAGCGGGCCGGGGGCGCGGTGGGCGCCCGGCGCCCACGGCGTCGACGCGGTGCGCTGCCGCGCGGAGGCGTCGCGGCGAGCGAGGGCCATCGCGCGGCGTGACTGTGCGACGTCCTGGCCTGGTGCCAAGCGATGAAGTGACCGGCGTTGGGCGGGTTGGGGGCCTTGGGGCACCATTATGGGCGGTTGATTGGGCTGATGCGCTGAGCTCTTTTGATGGCCCCATGACAACGACGTTGCCATGCATGGCTGGTGCGTTCTGCACTTCGCACATGCCGCCTGGGGGTTGTGTTCGGGGTATGGAGTCTGGATGTCCCAGAAACCGTTCACAGCAACAACAGAACTGTGCGCTGTGCATTGCGTGCTCTGTGCAGCACAACAAATCCCACTATGTGTTGTAGAAGCCACCTCAGGAAACCCAACGAAACAAACCTTGGTGCGGGGAAGGCTGGTCTCGCTCCCTACAGTTGAACCTACAACTCTCATCAACTCGTCAATATTGCGGCCGTATCGCGCGCCTCAGTTCAGTGCGCCACAATGAAATTCTGAAGCCCTCCAGGGGGCTGTTCATGTTGCTGCGCTTAATTAGTGCAGACTTGGACGTCGCAAAGTCTGAGCACTGCCTCCTGCAATAAAGTACAACTATAGAATGCACACAGACCTGACTGCACAGCCTTCGGCACCACACCAAAAGTCCCTTAGATTGACAGTTGCGGTAGGGCACCATACAATAGGGCAGCAACAGCAGGGCGCCACCTGTTGACATGCAAGGCAAAGCGCCAATGTCGAGTTGAAGATCACCAGGTTTGCAAATCTCCAGCTTTGATGCAACAGTTGCAAGTGGACACAATATAGAAAACTGCAGTCAAGGAGTTTGGCTCCTTCCTGACACACTGGCTGCCAGTTGTGAGTTTGCCACCGAACCCCACACTATTCAACCAAATCTTGAATACTGTCATCCTTGCCAACCGAAAGTCGCAAACAGAACAAGCCACAGTGCAGAGGCAGAGGGCAACGTGCTGCAGCAGATCCATCCTAGCAATCTTCAACTGTCACTTGGTACCCCTGAATGCACCAGTGCATTCTTATCTGACAATGATCACAGACCGCACTACTGGTATGCAGGTTCCTCTGCATATTCCATTCAGTTCGATTCGTGCAGGCCCTCCAGCTACTGTCATCCAAAGAAGCATTCCAATCTAATGGATCCACACGTTTGATCTAATCTGATCCAATCTGATCTGGATTTCCCACCTCACAATTTGTGAAATCGACAACAGCCAACAACAGCAAATTTCCAGACCAATTTCCCTGCTTGAAGCCAAGTCCCAGAGATAATCCAAACCAATCCCAAGAAGTGCAAACTCAGAATCATCAATCAGAGAGACACCCCCACCCACTCCACAAGACAAGGAATCTATTGATCAACATCACTAACTCAAGCTCAGCACCAGAGAGACCCCAAACAAATCCCAAGGCTAGCAAACTCAGAAGCACAAACCAGAGACCCACCCTCCCCAATCAGACACAAGAATCAATAAACAATAGTTGTCCTGTTGCAATCATTTGTTTGGCAATGCCCTTTGGCACATTTATCTTCCCAATATGGGTTTGACAGCCAACCCAGCCCCTAAACCCAGCGAGGTTTTGCATCCTCATCGCACAGAACGTGTTCTCGCATAAATCCAGCTAATCCCCAAATCCCCAGATCTACCACTCCCGGGGTGCAACAGGAATGCCAGTTCGGCACACGCCGCCACGCCTGGAGCCCAACGCGACACATATCAGAATGACACCCTTGTGCAAGATGACAGCTGGCCACCACATGGCATCCCGTCCAGCGGGCCCGGCCGTGCACCTCCCACAAGCCCCCAGCACATTCGGCAGCCGTCGGCGTTTCGCGCTGATCCACTCACGCAGGCGCACTGTCGCACGGAACGCATGGCCCGCGACCCAAGGGTCACGACGTCGTGGGAGCCTGCTCCTGGGCGCTGCTCTTGGTTGGCGGATCTGTTGCGTTGGGGCCGACGCGGCAAGGCCGCCAGTCGCCCGGCTGCTCGATTTCTGCGGATGCCGCGGCGCGCACCATCAGCGCCACGTCGCTGCCGAGTGACATGCCCCCCGCGGCGACGGCGCCCGACGCCAGCATCGATACTCCCGCGTACAGAGCCCGGCTCATGGAACACCTGGGGGGAGGGTGGCACAAACGGGCCGTGAAAAACCGCCACGGAGACAAACCGGCGCGGGGATGAGACGTGTCACGCTAGGAAGATATCGTGTGCGCCAATCCGACTTTCTGCCTGAGCCTTGGGGATGCCAGAGCTAGCCCCAAGGCGCGCTGGTCGCCGCCCAGGCCGGAGTAGCTATTGCAATCCAATGCAAAATTTTGTGCGGCAAACAGCAGTGGCTGGAGCCAACCGTGATGCAAAGCAACGAAAAGGCATCCGTACACCGTTTTTTCGCCTGGCAGTGCGGCGCCGCCAGCATCCGGACTGCCAGTCCAGGGCATCCGAATGTTGGTGGGGGCTGGTGCACACCTGCGTCGGACACTCTTTGAACTGAGGCAAGGAGGAGCCACGCGAACGCCAATCGGCAACAGGAAGCCCTTGCAGGCTTCCGCGGCGATCAGGTGGGGCTCAGGGTCCGAGGAGTGCAGCTGGAGGATCGCTGGTCAGGATCGAGGCAGCGAGGAGTCGAGTGTGGTCGTCACGCGCTCAGGGTGCAACAAATGGCACGCCGATCCGCCGATGGTATGAAAAGTACCAACGCATCCGATTGGCGTGCATTCTACCCCGTACAAAATAACCAACTGCTCGTTACGCCGCACAATGGCCACGGTGAGTCACAATCAAGGCGGATGATGGACCTCTACGCACTGCATGCTCACCAAGATCCACTGAGTCAACTCGGAAAGTGTTGGGTGCGTATTTAATTTGATGCGGTTGAGGCATTTTTTTGTCTCAGGCTGGTGATGTTGATATGATTGAATTAAAGGAGACGAGTGCGTTGGCCTGAATGTTTGACGTGGCTGGAATCTCGCCTTTTTGTGCTTGACAACATCCGTAGATCTTGAGGGCATCGGAAAAGGCGAACAGATCTTGTATGAAAACGGCTGGTCGTGTGAATTGCGCTGCTCCGAGCGTGTTGCTTGGGGTGGTTTTGGACGGACTTGCCATGCGTGTCTCGAGTTGGAACGGCCCCAAATCAACAACTTAACGTCGCGCCCGTTACAGTAAGCAGCCCCATGGGCGGATGAGCTAAGCAGCGATGATAGTGTTCGGCCGAGTCATTGAAGTGTGAAGGGGACTACTGTATACCAAAAAATTTTCACGGAGAAAAAATTTCGCGTATTTCGCGGGAAAAAAAATTCGCGGAGAAATATTGTCTGTCGCGCACTCGTCGGTGCGCGAAAATTTTTCTCCCGCGGACTTTTTTCCCCCGCGAAAGTTTCTGCCGCGCGAACATTGTCGCTGCGCGACCTTTGCGTGTGGGGTACCAGTAGGTGCCCGCCTTGTCTATAGCCCGCTCCGAGGCCCAACAAACTGAGGGTCCTTTGGCGTACTGGGCGACCAGCAGGGCCTGCCCGAGTGGCCACCCGCGAGGCCTTGGGAGGGGCGCCCGGATTGGCGCCTCACGGCCGCCCATTCGCGCCGCCCGCGGTGGCCTAGAATGGGCCCCGCCAGTGGCCCGGGTGGGCGCCAGTGAGGAGCGAGATGCGCCGCAAGATAGGCGCCTCGCGGGCGCACAATCGCGCCGCCCGTGCTGCCTTGAATCGCCCCGTTCGGTGGCGCGAATGGCCGCCCGATAGGCGCGATAGGCGCGACAGGCGTGCCCTCAATCGCACCTGGAAGCTGCCCATTCGCCCTCCGCGGGTGGTGGGAATCGATGCCCGCTAGGCGCAAGAGGCGCCGAGTGATTCGCGCCTCCCGGGCGCCCATTCGCGCCAGCGGCGGAGGCCTGAAACGGCCCACCCCGGAGCTGAAAATCGCCACCCGCGATGGCGATTGGGGAGAATTTGGAGACCCCTCCGCTTTGCTGGACCCTTTGGAGCCACTCTGCGGGCCGTCGCCAGGGCGCGCTCCTTGCGCGTTCGACGGAATTGATGCAGGCACAGATTCGGTCCCCGATCGCTTGGCAAGCCACACTGCGCTCGTGCCCTCGAAATGCTCCCCAAAACTTGTGGGATCCATGGAGACTCGGCCAGCCGATGGTAACTGCCCTGCGAACGCCCCGCTGGCCAGTTCAGGGCTTCTTCGCCGCTCGGCGGGGGCCACACGCCGCAGCGCAAAGCCAAGAGGTCAAACCGCGCGCCCATCGCGTGACCCACCCGTGAGGGGTGCCGAAAAGTTCGCGGGCGAAAAAAAAGCGTGGAGAAATATTTTCGCGCACTGGATCGACCGCGAAATGCGCGAATATTTTTCTCCCGCGAAATTTTTTCGGTATACAGTATGTGGTGAGAGGGTAGCAGTGGCATGGGAGTGGTGCGGGAAGTACAGAACCGGGGTGGGAGAGTGGAAATAATATTGCTGCCTGCACCAAATCGGTGACTACTTGCACCAAGTCACGTGCACACTTTGTCTTAACCTCAGTTTTAGGGTTAGGTTTAGTTCAGGGTGAGTTTTAGGGTTAGGGTTAGGGTTAGGACAGGTTTAGTTTTAGGGTTTAGGGTTTAGGTTTTAGGTTAGGTTAGTTTTGACAGAGTTGGACATGATGTGCACGTGATTTGGTGCAAACAGTCACCGTTTTCGTGCAAGCAGTCACCGATTTGATGCAGGGAGTAATTTTATGCCGGGAGAGTGTCGGGTAGTAAGGGTGAAGTGGAGTGATTGGGTAGGTGACCGGGTTAGGGACTTCAAGAACGCCGGCAGGCGGACGGGTCCAGGTAGGCCGGCTTAGAGGTATAGGTACGGGGAAGTGGGTACAGATTGGGGATAGTGGACGGGTTTGGGAGTTCGGGGGAAGTTTTGAGGGTTTGTTTTGGGTGAGCACTGCCAGTATGACAATGCTAATCTGGGAAACTGTGCGTACTGCTAAAGGTGATGTCTGTCAATGGGAAATCATTCGATAGCTATACAATCGGGCAACTGCAT